TTGTAAAGTAAAATTTTAACATTTCAAAATTAGTGAGCTTGAAAAATAAGTAAGGAGTACTTTCTGGCAGTTGGAAAGAAATAAAATAAGTCAAAATCTAAACTAAGTTAAAATCTCTTCCAATTAAGTTCACAAAATAAAATTCAGTTAATGAATATTATCAAAATATCGAATTTACAGTACTTATAACGAAACTGCAGAACATTATTAATAGAGATATTCAAAAATTTATTCAAAATAAACAAATATTAAAAAATTTGAAAGTAATTTGCGATAATCTATTCCCCCCTCCCATTTTTCTAATTTTACCACGAAGAACTTCAATTTAAAAAAAATAATAATAATAAAAATTAAACAGCAATGAAAGCAACGAAATGTTTGATTTGGTATTAGCAAAAGAAAAAAAAATTGAAATAAATAAATAAAATAAAATAAAACTTTAAATTAATTTTTCCACTTCACCAAAACCTTTTCTAATCAGTACCTTTTAACTACTAATGTACTATGAACTCTAAAATAGACTCACAACTCCTCTGTTATAGTGATTTATGATGACAGCTATCCCCACCTCTCAATTAGTACCCAGTCGGCGGTCGTAGGGGAAGGAAAAAAAATACCAGCGAAAAACTCGGGCGCGCCGCTAGAGAGGCAGATAGGCAACCCGAGTTATTCCGGGCTTGCCGCTTTGCGTGTAGATATGATTCCCGAGTTATTACGGGTCCGCCGCCAGGAGGGTTAACAACATACACTGAAATTTCACAAAGGAAAACGGTTGAATAATAATTTATTCAACTGTTATTTTACTTTATTCAAACAAAACAGTCAAATTACCATAAATAAGATGGCATGCAAACTGTTATCTGTGAAAAAAAACATTTATTATTTACTGCTTTTACCTAATACGGTTAAACAACTAGAATTTTATGACATAAACTAGGCCCACCTAATGAAGCCACTTAGTTCCCTGCGGCTGGGTACAAGTTGTATCCGAGAGAGGTAATCTGTCAATTTCAAGACCGAAAAAAACAGGGATTCCAGTTCCAGTGTTGACACCGCAATATTTCCTTCCTTCTCATCAACACACGAAGAGTTACCTCCCAATTTGTGACCCTGGACTAATAGAATGCGATTCTCTCTTTCTCGCACAGATTTAAATACCATGAATCTGCTTAACACTAAAAAGTCTAGTATTTCCCATCTCGTACGATGCGTGAAGCAACCAGATAAGCGAATTTAACCACATTTCACGGCTCATTTGATGAAACACAACTCAACCACTACCTAACTCTAATGCCCATCACCTAACGAAAAGCCTAGCACCAATGCACAGTTACATTTCCTTTTTATGGTTTTGAAGCCACGCATGTTGTAAATGGTTAAAAAACCGTACAGTTCCGTATTCATGGTTTTCTAACCATACTAGCTTAAAACGGCTTCAAAACCGTAAAGGAAAAAAATGTTCTTTGCCGTAAACTTTACGGTTAATTGGGAGGGACGGTTATTTTATCGTACTTTTAGAATAAAAATTCCAACAGTGAATTAAGATATATGATATTTATTATCAATTGCTTACTAATTTTAAAAAATCTCTTCTCTATCATTTATATATTCTTTTTTTCGATGTCTTAAAGAGCTGTGGGCACTTATCAACAATGCAGGAATCAGCAAAGGCTCAGATATAGAAGTAACTTCTATGGAATCAATAGAAGAAGTAATAGCTGTAAACCTTTTAGGCACCATTCGACTAACAAAAGCTTTCTTACCACTACTTCAAAAATCAAAAGGGAGAATTATTAATGTTGCAAGCGCAGCTGGTAAGTAGAAAATATTTTAATATAAAGTTATTCAATAATTCTCTATAGAAAAATAAAACTACAGCAGATAAAATTATTTCTCAATCGAATATTAATGTATAAAAAAACTCATTGGTTGAAATAAATCATGATGCATTTTATAATACAACTGTTTTCGCAGTTGAAGAAAAAATTTGAAATGGCATAAAAGTTATTATACAGTAGTTTAAAAGAAATTTTAAAACTATTTCTCTGATATGTTTTTGTTATATGGAATAATAATTTAACTGTTCCAGTACTTATAGGAGAAACTTTAAAATGAGATAGAAGTCAATGAAATATAGTTGAAATACTTTATGAAGGTAATAATTATTCGATAGAAATACTTAAAAATGTTATAGAAGCTATTATAGTAGTTTGGTAAAAATTTATATTATTTCTTTTCATTATTATTTGATTAGATATAATTTTATAATTAAACTAATTTAGCAATGGCTGAAAAAATTTTAAAACAGGACAAGATCTAGTATATTAGGAAATACTTTGAAATACAAAAGACAAAATTATTTGACATTAATTACAACATTTTGCTAAATTACATTTGTTTGTAGTTGAATAATACATAGTTGAATAATAATAAGCGAAAATATGTAAATATTTTATTATAGCCGAATAGCAGAAATTTAATTAAATAGTACTGTTGAGAAATACAATTTCAGATTTTCATGAATATATTTTTCTTGATTTTAACAAAAATTACTGCGAAAACATTTCGCAACTTTATATTAATATTTCTGATTCCAGTTTCCTCCATGCAAGTAAAATAATAAATTAAAATATTTCCCTCAAATTGTTAATTTAATGGCAAGCTTTCATTAAATGAAGAAAAAAGTAATAAGAACATCACATTTTATATAAGTGAAAAAGAAAAAAAATAATGTAATTTATAAATTAAAAAATTTTATATCAAAAATGATATTATACTTCAAAAATAGTTTTATATAAAAAAAAAGATTATATTATCCATATTTTGTTTTTAAATTTTTAGTTGCGCCAATTTTTGGCGTATTCTATTTTACTTCATATTTAATTTTGAGCAGAAACTATTATACAATGATGTGCATTAGGGAAAAAAAATTTGAAACATTAATGTGACAACTGTTTTGTCTTCTGGAGAAATAAATACCCAAAGTTTTTGAGAAGCTTTTGTTTAGTTCAAACTCTGCTACGTAAAGAGCCATGCTATGTTTTCCCTATTAAGAGTTTTTCAGTGGAGTTGAACTCTTACCCATACTGAGAAATTAGGGTTCATCCTATAAACGAGAGGTCATCGATCAGAATTGGGGTGAAGCGTTCATTCAATAGCACTGTAGTAAGAGAGGTCATCAACCCTAAAACTGGGGTGTAGCGCTCATTTTCTCCCTACTTACATGAGTAAGTCAACAATTTCAGAAAATCGATTATTTAACAATATTAAATAAGATTTTCATTGTGAACAAATAGGATTCTTTTTTACAAAAACTAATAAAATAAAAATCTCATAAATTTTATTAAATTTGGAATCATTTTAGAACATTTATATTCAAATATCCATAAAAATAAAGAATGAACAGAACATTCTCTTTTATCACGCCAGAAGTCTTAAAGATAAGAGCGAAGTTGCATTTATCTAATCATCAATGAAAGAAATGAAATTTGACCTAGTTTAAATTAATTCCTTGGCCTATTTTTCTCAAAATATTTATTCACAGTTATCATAAATAATATCACTTTCCTAAGTATCATAAAAAAATCTTCTGCTGTTCTGATAGAGTTCTATTTTTAAATAGTAATTTAATAAATATAAATTGATTTCAACTTTTATATACAAATAATATTATGCATTTAAATTGGGATTTTATAAACATCAGTTTCAATAGGAAAAAATGATGGTATATTCGTATAATTCAACTTATTTTTCAAATAGAAATAAAAATAAACCGTATAAAGATACAATTAATACTGCATGCAAAACAAAGAAGAATTATTAATTAAAAATAAATTATTGCACTTTTTAATAAATCTACTTAAATTGCAGTTCTGGGACAGTAATTAGGTGATAGAAAATAATTATACGAACACTAATTAATAAACATTTGTATAAATAAACAATATGAATAGATAAACAATATAAAAAACAAAGAAACTTTCTCTTCCATAGTAAATGTTTACGTTAGCAAGACCTAAGACATTTAAATATATGAAGGATTAACGTAGACATTGTTTATTTTGTAATAAAAATAACAGTGTGGTGACTAAGGGTATAGAGAGCGGGTTCGAATCCCAGCGATGGCTGACCGATTCGAATTACGTAATACTCAGCTATACTCAAAATTTTATTTCTCACTTTTTGTGCAAAACCATATAAAAGTTGAGGTTTTAAATTTTTTAAAACTCTATTTTTTTCATACTTTTTTCTCTTAGAATTCGTCAAGTTTTTTTTTAAAAATATGGGTTGTATTTTTTTTCAAATTTGGTACTGATAGTAAAACTCGAGATAAATTTTTTTATATAAATCTATTTATTTACTTTAATATTAGTAGAGTGGATAAAAGCCCTGGTGGCTCAGGGGATAGAGCGTTTTCCTCCCTATGACGTGAACAGGGTTCGAATCCCAGCGATGGTTGGTCAATGCGAATTCCGCACCCGGCTCGCACCGACCACAGTGCTGACGTAAAATATCCTCAGACTTGGACGATCATGGGTTAGAGTCCCTTTGCCATCAGGCTTATTGTGGGAATTTTACGTGGTTTCCCTCTCCATGTAACGCAAATACGGGTAAGTGCTATCAAAAATTCCTCCACGAAGGCAAATTTCTCCCAATACCTTATCCAGGTGTTCCCTTGTCTTCTAGATTGGGTTCAAAATTACAAGGCTACGGAGTTGAACATTGGAGGTCGTGAATCGAAAATCTGTCGACTGTTCAATGATGGTTATAAAATAAAATAAATGCAGTAACATTTAATTATCAACTACATTACAAGGGAATAACCACGATAAAGTTACAAATTTACTTTTTGAGAAAAGTATATATAAAATAATAGTTTTTATTCATGTTTTTTTATTTGAATGATAGATTTTCGTAAGGGGATAAATTCAATTAATAAACTGCCAGAACTGAATTTGTTAAAATTATAAGCCACTTACATGCAGCAAAATAATCTCAAACTTGCGCTTTAACCATGGTTTAACTTATCTTCATACTTTTCGAGAAAAATAATGTTATCAGACTCTATGTAAAAGTTTCCGATTGTATGATGTTTTATAAAACAAAACTCCCATTTCTCAGGAAGATTCGTTATGCCTGGATTTTTGCCTTATTCTGTCAGCAAAAATGCAATTATATGGTTTAGTGATGGTCTTAGATTAGAAGTAGCAAAATTCGGAATATCTGTTGTCACGATTGAGCCCTGGATATATAAGTAATCTGTTTTCTCTTATTTTGATTTTAATTTGATCTATTTTATTTTGTAAACATTTTGCTCTTATAATGGTAACAGTTTATTTTACTATTTTTTAATATGTCTTTCCTCATTTTAGTTATTTGCTTTTTTTCATTTTGTGATATGTTTTTTTCTTATTTTGGTTACAATTAGCTTTTTTTAATATTTATGTTTTATTTTATTTATTTTGATTATGATTCACTTTATTTTATGGAATATAATCTAAAACTTTAATAAATATTTGCCATATTTTATATTGTAAATGTTTTTTCCATTTTATAATATTTACATTTCAACTTTATTTTGATAACATCTTGCTTTATATTATTTTGTAACATATTTTTCATTATTTTGACTATAATATGTACTGTTTTATTTCGTAGCTTGTCTCTTTTTTTTTTCTCATTCTCTCTTCTCGTTACACTTTGCTTTATTTTATTTTACCTCATTAATTTTTTACTTATTTTGAAAAAATTGAGCTTTTTTTACCACGTTTATATCAACTTGCCTTCGTGTATGTCTGTTCGGGTGGAATTTTGTAATCGATTTTAAACAAACTTCAACCACAACAAACTCACAGTATTTCGTACTTCATTGTAAACAATATTAATGCTGCAAGTAGTTAGCCAAACCTGGCGTATCTCCGAATGGTGCGAATAGGCATGAGTTTGATGAACGAATGGTGCGAATAGGCATGAGTTTGATGAGTTGAACATTCTTCATTATTGATGTTTAAATTACTACCTTTAGAGTGCAATATAAACTCGATTTGATGTAAACTTGAAATAAGCTGTGCTTTGAAACTATTTTTTAGGTTGTTCATCAACAAATTCAGAAAGCTATTGCACTACTGTATTGATAGTGCATTTGTTTTTGCAGGACAAGGCTTTCGGATCCATCTGCCCTTTCAAATTATGTAGAAAAACAATGGAATAACTCAAAAGAAGGAGTAAACAAAGAGCAACTTAAATATGCCAAAAAGATCAAACGAAATACCGGAAGTATATTTGGATCCCTCATGAATCCAAATTTAGATGAAGTGATCAATGTCATGGAAGATGCGGTAACCAGCAGTTGTCCCCCTTACACATACAGACCAGGCAAATTGTACTTAAATTTACTCTTATGGCTTTCTTCCTTACTTCCGAAACCAATTGTTGACTATGTGCTATGTTATGTTATATTTAAATGTGCATAAATGTTTCAGTAAACAAACTATTAGACTGCGTTTATTTATAGCTCTTGAACTTGAAATCGAAAGCTTATGCCATTTGTTTTATATTGTAATAAAATTTTATTCTCTGTTATAAAGATTCCTTTTATTAAACTTATAGTTGGAAATTTTCAGTATATAAAGCATTTTGTTTCCTTCTCTTATGTTTAAAAAATTTGCAGAATGTTTAAAAATTCGAATTACGGCATTTTAGAAACATTATACATTCGTTGTTTCTTTAAAAACATTTTTTTAACAGTATTTGCTTTCATGATGTAATCTTTTTAAATGGTAGAAACTTACTTTTTTTCAAAGTTTAAATATTTCCTCTCAGGAGAATTCTCAAATAGCACAAATTGTCACGGTGATATCATAATAAAATTAAAAACAGTCACAGCAGTCACATTCACGAAATCTCCCACGAAATACTCTAATTCACGAAATACTCTAAAATGAAACTCTCACTTTTGACACCTAAGGCTGCATTTCGTTAATTTTGAGAATCATTTAAGAACGGAAATCACGTGACTTGTGACAAAATGAGAACTCTTAAATATATGACGAAAATATTTCCTCACTTGAAACCTCACCATAGGGCATTGTGGGAAATTGTTGACTAGAAGGAAACTAGAATGACTACTAGACGATCGTATATAAAGCACTGGAACAAGTCGACCAATGTATGGTGGGTGGTCCAGGAGTTGGCCTCTTATCAGGGCAATTAAGGGTTCAAACCCAGCTTCAGGCATGTGCGTAATTTATTTCTCAATTTCTCTTGTGTTGTATATGCGATTTTGATCCACCTATATGGTGCTCATGATGAAATGATTGTTAGAAAAGTTAGATGCCTCTTCTTTTTTGCTTGGAAAGAAAATAGAATGGCAAAATATTTTTCGTAAATTTTGACGAAATACGTTTCTTTAAAGCAGTGACGATTATTATTTCGCCACTTGGACGAAAGTTTTGCTTGGAGCATATAGCAGGAAACAGTTTCGTTAAAAACGAGGAAGGTTTCGTGAAATTTGAACATCCGCTTCTTATAGTGCGCCACTCAGTTGCAACTTTGATACCTTGCGAATCACATGGGATGTATTTTTCGATTTATGTTACTGAATTTGCAGGGGTATTTTTTCTTGTTTCATTGTAGTAGCGTGCATACATTTTTGAGACTTATTTCACTAAAGTTCTGATCAGCGACTTAGAAGTCTTGTTAACTGGGTTTTGCGACTAATCTCTTAAAATTAAATCTGTGATCACACTGGAGTCACAAATGGTCACAGAAAATTACATTCACATGTGAGACCTGTTTAAATAGTCCAAAGGTGAACGTGGAAAAATTTAATTGCTTCCATAAACGTGTTAGGTAAAAAAAATGGTTTCTGTACAATTTTGCTGCATTCTCTAACGCTCACGGTGTTAGAAAAAAGTTATCAAATATAAGTACACCCCTTGTTGAATTTACCAAACGATATTCAAATAAATTTATCTAAATATTATTATCTATTGAAAAAAAAAAGAATTTTGATGTCACTTTTTTCGGCTTTTAAATTAGATGTATATGTTTAATGTTTTTTGTAAGATTCATATTAAAAATGTCAAATGTTACCTAACTTTTATAGCCAACAGTCGTAATAAGATTCATTTAATTAAAAAATATTATTGCAGAGGCAGGGCCGAACTAAGAGACTGTTTGTTACTGTAATCCATGAATAGAGCTGTTATCTAACTCGCAATTACTTAAAACTTTTCTCACAAAGAAAGCAATAACATTGATAGAACTATTGATACTACTTTAGTATGTATAATGTTATTTAGAGTTAAAAATCTATTACACATATTAAAGTTAACTTAAAATTTAATGATTAAAATTTTCTTGATTACAATTTGATTCCATAACATTAAGTAACACAATAAGGGGTGGAGAAACTAAGATCACTCACTAGGGCGTCATGTCTATTCGATTCAACCTTCGTACTACAAGGCAACGCTTCAACTGATTCCTAAAACGATGCAACCCCTTCAGCAAGAGGGAACTTCGCCAAACTTACCCTTTGGCTCACTTATCGATGATTTTGGCGCACTTACTATTTTGGGACTCCTTGCTCTGCATCATCTTAAATGTGATCATGTGTCTTTAGTATCTTGGAAAATTGATTAGTCCTCTATTACTAAGATCTAGAAATACTTAAATATATTCTCTAGAAGGATATGGAAAAGAATCTTTCCACTTTCAACTCCTTCTTCTGAATTAGAAATGAGTTTGAACTCGCTTTTGGAGATCCTAGTCCTCCCGAGGCTGCAGAATAATAATCCGAACTCGAGATACATAGGATTACTTAGATCCCGAATCCGCCCGAGATATTCGGATAAAGGGCAAATTTTGCAAAAACAAGGAATGAAATTTTTTATCACAATTAATTAATAAACGTTAAATTTTTTATGCTTAATAACGGTACCAAACGTTATTTTAAAAATAGTTAAAAAGTTTATGAAAATTTTATCATGAGTTCAAGCCTGCTCGAGTCTGTAAGCTTTTTTTCCTTGTATGAGTTCGAGTTCTAGCGTGGGATCTCTATTCTGAATCTAGCAGCCATCATGTCGACACCTTGTTGGTACGGGCTTGAACCCCTTTGTTTTAAATAAAATTCAATCTTGACTTTTCTGTTTTTGTATTTTTAAAGTACCACTTCGAATTCATGATTACACCTAAATTCAGAATATGTTAAATTCGTAACCTACAATAATGGAGAGACACTTTCAGTTTGTGACATTTTTTCAGATTTCTCAAGAAATACTTAAAAGATTTTTTTCATGACTTTAGAGGTGTTAAGGTGATGTAATTTCTCATACTTATCTGTAAACTTTACAGTTTTCAAATGTCTGAGGCACCGGCAATAAATTACAAAAAAAGTGTTTATGAACACCCTATGTCGGAAAATAGAGAAATAAACTTATAAAAATTATTTTCGTTAGTATATGGAATAATTGCATTGAGTTTCGTAAGCATAGCTTAAATATTTATGGAAATACGGATGTTTTTATAAAAAAGTATATTATTTTTTTTGTCCTAATTTTATTACTATAATTTAAACTATTTTCAATAAAATTAAACAAAATTTTTAAGCAATTTTTAAAATAGTAAAAAGTTATCTTTTTAAAATTTAAAAAAAAATTCCTTAAAATTGCGCAAGATAAGAGCATTTAAAGCCGTTCTTACATACTGCGCACGAGTAAGAAAAAACATTTTTGTTTTGACAATATTGCAGAGAATTGTATTTAGAGTGTTGTTTCTAATGCCACTTGCCAAATTTACCAACAAGTCTGTTTGGGGAATCCAAGCGAATTTAAGGCAGATGATGCTTGCTTTTCAGCGGAGTCAACAATGGAATACGACTTCAGCCACACACACACACGCCACAGCCCGTTTTAAAGGGCAGACCAATCCAAGGATCCATTCATTCACTAACAGATTGTAATTTTGACCTGAACCAGAGAACGATCAATCCTCAATTCAGTACCCCCAAAGGTATTGATTTGTCTTGGAAACTTGGATGAGTTTGTAACCCGACGGAATTAACTTGCACCAGTCACTATTTACTGTCACGGGGAGTCTTCGGCTGGCTGGGATCAAACTCACGACCTCTAGAACATGGGTCCAACGCCCTTCCAACCAGGGTATTTCAGCTCATTGTATTTAGTAACTAACGTAAAAAAAGTCTGATTTAAATATCTTGAAAACTTTAGAAGTTTCTAGCAATTTTTGAAGTAGTTCTTGTAATTTTTTTGAAGAAAGCTCTGAATGATAAGGGATTTTCACAAGTGTCATTTTATACTATTCTGACACAATTCTAAGTGTCATTTTGTGTCATTTTGCAATTCATTCTAAGTGTCATTTTGTACTATTCATCTCCATTATGGGAGATCAACACTTGAAAAAAAAATTTCTATCACGTTTTCTTTCTTAAAACCATCAAATTATAGTATGCGGGCAATTATTGTAAGGTATTATAATTTATTATTAAGTTTTGTCTCATGATAAAAAAATAAATTTGTCGGAAACTTCTGTTATAAAATAATCTTCTAATCTATGGTGTCGTACCAAAATATATTTTCATATGGGTTAGCATATCAAAGTTCCATTATTATTATTTTGAGAATCTTACGAGTCTTTGGTTTAGGCTCCAAATAAAGTTCGGTTATTCATGCATAGTTAATACGAAAGAAGAAAAATATGATTGAAATAAACTACAAAGGAAATTGCCTGATGAAAGATTGTGGTATCCTATGAACCGTATATGCTGTTGTTCACGGGGGATTCTTAAGGATGCTATAGACAAGAATAGAAGTTTCTAGAAAAGTAGTCAAGAAAAGAAGTGCGTAATGAAAAAGGCTATATTAAGAAACTCTTTCTTTAATCGATCACATGTGTTTTGTCTGCACGTGGGATAGTTGAGAACTCAATTATTTAGCGAAGTAGAATTATGTAAATTACAAATAATTTAGTTTCTGCTTAGATAAAGATTAGAATTCAAGTCATCAAATGTATGCTAAATTTGTGATTGTTTTTAAAGTCTAAATTTTTTTGCATAAATAATTATTGTAATAATATTTATTAAAAACAACAAGATTCATACAAGACTTGATGAAAGGAAAATGTATGCAGAGTATTTGGTAATGGAGGTAGCGCTTCACGCTCTCGTGCTGCAGGTCCCGGGTTCGATCCTTGGGCCGAGCAAGGTTGACTCAGTCTCTCATCCCTTCAGTAGATCTATAAAATGAGTACCAAGCATTCTTGGAGACTAAACACTGGAGGTTCCGTGTTCGGTTGACCACCCAACCTGAACATCTGCTCCTGCACCTCAGAGCCCAAGATCAAAAAAACTAAGATGGGCACAGTTGGCCTTGGCCCTCTATAGGCTGTCGCACCACTGAGTTTAGTTTTGTTTGGTAATGACAGTCCTTAATTTGTTTTGCTAGAACCTTGGTAAAAAATTAAGTAAAAATGCATACACATTAGAGTTTGCGAATTATCATTTAAGCGGTAAAAAAATTGCTATCGAAATCTTTTGAATCAATTTAGAGTTCGTGATAGCC